CAGCTTCACATATCTGTTTTATAACCAGAATTCAATTAAAGGTGGTTGTCTTTTTGTATAAAACTCCCAAATCTCATCACTGAAACTGCTACATCCACAATATATATAAATGTACACCTTGCAGATTGTGTTGTCATTTTGGTGCTTTACTTGAGAGCAGATTTTGAAAAACTCATGTCACTGCAAATTGGCAAGTTGATTGCATATTACTTAATTTTTACTTAAAAAGTTAATGATAACCAGCCTAGGGGTTCTAAACCGCTCCATAGAGTCTGATTTAGTGTCCTGCAATGTTAAAGGCAGACACGAGAGAATGGAAACTTTCTATCATCAACTGGTAGGGATTCACAATTAACCGTTTTTTGTTTTTTTATGTCGCAATGATTTAACCTTCAAACATGTGATTGTTGAAAGGGACAGTTATTGACTTGGATAAAATGTTTGAGTCAAAATCTGGTCAGAAAATGATAAGTTATTATCTGAGTATGTGTTATTCAGCCTTTGATTCTAAAAGCCTTTTCCTTACCAAGTAAATTTAAAATAGCAGCTTGTTGAGATACACAGGCTTATTTTTAGCTACTCATTGTTTTATAGAGTATATTTTTAGATTGTACTTTTAGCTGAGTCATTGTGGGTTGTCTCTTTCTCCGCTTTTCAAAGCTTTCTCTGGCTTAACTTTAAAATCAATCTAAAACACCATTGTTTTACATTACCTCATTGTGGTTTAGAATTTTATAGATAGGGATATTTTTAAAAGGACATTTATAATGACTTTCTAAAATGTTCTATTTTCAGTTTAGCTCAGGCTTGTGATTCAGTGCAGGATCCGTTAACAAGCAAAGACAAAAGTATTGATCATAAAGTTTTTTCAAAACTTTAGAAAACACACACACACATGACAAATGCTCTAAATCAAAGCACTCAATACTGATCGGCCACCATTCAATCAGTTCTGACTTAGTTCTGCCATTAGTACCCGGGATCCAGTTTCCACTAGCAAGCTCCTCACAAAAGCTGTTATACCTCAAAAAAATGCATGTTAGGAACCATGGATTTGTTTTATTACTTTAGTCCAGACTATCAGTGTGGACTAAACATGTGAAATAAGTTGCATTGTAGTCATCACTGAGACCATATTTTTTCACATTAGTCAAAGTCTGCAGGTTCAGGTTGTTATTTCCTTTAACAACATGTTTTATAAACAGTAAGAAGAAAAACATCATTTGATAACTACATGTTCCTTTACAATACACAATGTTGACTGCCTACTGAATCATGAATGTTCTCATCCTTCAGTATTGGGTTTTTAGATCAATATTTTTATAATCATGTGGCAAAAAGTGATTAAATCAAAAGTTAAATATGGGTGAGAAAAATTCTGCATCACCATTTGAAAATATCCATCCATCCATCCATCCATCCATCCATCCATCCATCCATCCATCCATCCATCCATCCATCCATCCATCCATCCATCCA